GGTTCCCGAGTTGAAAGTTGCGGACAAGTTGCTGCGGACACACACACACACACATACACACACACATACACGCACACAACAACCCCGTGAAAATATGCTGTTACACAGCACGAAACACATAATAAAACTAAAATACGCACGAGGCCAGCAGACGACAATCTGGGAAATACTTTGAGACACTGTGTCAGTAATACAAATCCAGATTTCTATAATCTTGTGTCAAAAGTTCAAGCTCAGAGCTCACATTAAACCGCTGTTGTTTATTTTTTTTTTTTCACTGGATGAACAGCCTGATAAAAAGTTACCTATTTTATGCGTTTTTGCATTCTATGCAGTGGGCTACATTTTTGCTCAAAACTTGCTAAATATGGGTATCAATTCCCTCTGTCTCCTATTCGTCGATTATAAAAAAATGTTCGATAACACAGAGCTGAATGCTATGTAACGAGCACTTTTAAATGCGAGGATTGATGGCAGTTATATGTAAAACAGTTAGGGAGCGAACCTAAACTGTTTGGCATCAAGCGAGTTATTTGTAGGGCAGTTTTGGCATTTTTTGTTTATCAGTATCGACTTGAAAATGTTTATGGTGGCGATTTCGTGTTAAAAAGATTTGTTACCTGGAACAGTCAGCTAAATACGTCGGCGAGTAAACCCAAAAATGTTCCAGCGCAGGTTACTTTTTTTTGTATAGCTTTCGTCATGAAGTAATTGGCATATTCAGAAGTGGGTGGTTCAGAAGAGAGGGAGATACTTTGTCTTTTTTCTGTTAAAAAGATCAGAAGATTTGTGAATTTGTTTTACCCAAAGAATTGCTAACTTCAGCTGGAGAAGGAGAGGGAGAGGGGATGGGGAAAAGAGGGGAAGAACGGGAGGGAGGAGAGGGGTAAGAAGGAGGGGTGGTAAGCTTTTATAGTGATGAGCTGAGATGAAGGAGATAAAAAGGCGCAAAGAGAACCTCTCGCCCTTTCTCTTTCCCTCTCTTAAATTAGGTGCAAAAAATAAAATAACCGCGATGGGGTTTATCGGGGCTTGTTTTGATGTTTTCCTGCTTCTACCCGCAGGCATAGTTCGGTCTGTGTTTACAACTAAGGGATGAAACACAGGCAAACTGCATCGCATAAAATTTCTTCTTACACATGACACTTAAGTCCAACCCCTCTATTCTGCTATTTCACTTTATTCGCCGGTCTTTTATGTGGGCCGACTAAGGACATGTCTCTTTTTACTCGCCGTTTCATCACCTTTCATTTTTGAACACCAGTTATCCAGGGGAATAAACGCTGATCTCATATGTAGCGGGTAGGAGGTTGTACTGATGATTCCCACTTTTACAACTTGTTCTATCGGTGTTTGCAGCTAAGGGATGAAACACTGACTGCTTATCTATGTGTTAGATGACTGTCATCTCCAAATCCAATAATTATGTTGCCTAAAAACATTAAAAATGTTAAGACTGTCACTGCCATACCTTCGAAACCGCCGAGCTATCTATGTTATCAAAACGAGGCGTTCACAGTAATCGAAACTTGTGTGCTATGCTCTGGTTTCGAACAGGATGCTGTCAGTGCAGGTGATTTTCATTTATAAGTGAAAACTATGAAAAATTTTTATCTTGTTTTTTTTCTTACTTATTATGTGTTTTGTGCTGTGTAACAGCAGTACAAAACGCATATTGTTACGGGGTTGTCTGTGTGTGTGTGTGTGTCCGCAA